TTGAGGTCCATAAAGTTTTTATTATTCTTGCTAGCACAAGAGGAAAAACCCTAGCAGTTGCAGTCTATTCTCCGTATGGATTTCATTGGAGGCTGGACAATTGGACAGTTGGGGTGGCAGATTCAAGCTGCTGGAAAGGAATAACGCGAAGGAGTTTGCAAAATCAAGAAAAAGTATATTTCTTATCACAATTCTTATCTAAATACAAAGTTGAATCCTGAATGAGAATTGAAATTTGTTTAATTCCGCTGTGCATGTTTAGTCAATTCCCAACAACCCACCCCATGTATGTGTGTATGTTTTGAATTTTTGTACCCATTCTGTACTGCCTTTTCTGTACCCATAGCAAAGTCCTTTTGATATTGTCATCTTACTAAGAAACTACAAAACAAGTATATAAAAGTGTTAAAGAACAAAGAATTTGACTTTTTTTTTTTCGATCCGTAAATGTAAATATCATTGAAGAACAAAGAATTTGACTGTTTCTTTTATGCATGATGGAGATCGGGCAAAATATCTAAAGCTTAAATCATTTGGATTATTGTTTCTTTGGTCATATTTCTTGAGGAAACTCTCGATAGTGTTTGTTTTATGCTTTGATGTCAGGTTGCAGGCATGCTTGACCCTTTCCTTCATCTTGCTCGAGGAAACCTCTTCTTTTTTTGGATATACTATTTAACGAAGTGTTTCTGGGGATGGCAAAAGTACTCATCAAACCAAGTACCCGCGAGGATTACCCGCTTAATCGGGTCGGGTCGAGTATGGGTAAAGGGGCGCCACCCCGTTTAAATTTTTTTTCTTTTTTCTTTTTCAAAGAATTCAATACACTAAACCCTTATTTGATTTCCATTATTTTTAAAATACATTTTTTCCTCCCTTCTTTTCAATCACACATTCTCTAATAAAATAATATTACATATAAATTCAAAACTTCTTCTTATTTTTTGACCACTCATTATTCATCAATGTGCTATTTTAAAATGTATTATTAGAAAATAATGGGACTCAAACAAGCACTAAATTGAAAAATTCCACGAAATTTCATTAATTCTAATAAAAAAAATGGTAACTAAAATTATCTAAAAAATATGATAAACATGAAAACCTTAATTTACCAAATATATTTGAATAATTTAAATTTTAAAAATAAATTAATTAATTAAAAAAATTAATAACTACATTATTGTTTCACTTGAATGAATGGAGCATTAAAATGAATTATAAAAAACGTAATATATATATATATAACGGGTACGTAAACGGGACAACCGTCCTACCCTACCCCAACCCTGCCTTAAATGGGTAAAGGGGCGGGAAAATGCCCCACTCCTCGCCCCGCCCTTGTTGCCATCCCTGGTGATTCTGCTTTCCTATCTGTCAATTGAGAATGATTTCCTTCCCAAGGAAATATTTTTAATTACCTAAAAAGAATTATTATTATTATTCAATTGTAATGTAATCAATTTAGGGAGTATTTGATAAGCATTTTTATGTAAAAATGTATTTTAGAATAATAAATTGATGTGAAATGTGTGGTTGAAAAATAATAATAAAATTTTAATTTACGTGTAATATTATTTTAATAAAGAATATGTGGTTGAAAAAAAGAGAAAAAAATATGCATTTTAAAAAAATGGCTATCAAACGAAGCCTTAGTAACGAAAAGTAGAAAAGTAACTTGGAAATGCTTTTATCGTAAGCATATCATTGGTGTATTATGCATGTGCATTTCTTTGAGAATACTCTTAAATGCCTTATTCATCCGAAATCGATCTACCTTGTGGAATACAATATTTTGTCAACGAAACTTTAAACGATAATTCAAGTAATTTTTTTTTAAACGAAGATTTTTTTTTTTAATATAAAATCTTTAACTTATAATTTTTTATTTTTTTTCAAGTTTCTCTGTTTTATAGTATGTTTAGATAATAAGAAAGTAATAAGTATAAATTTTACAATACGAAGCCCGTGAACAAAAAATATGTTTGACAAACTTAAATTAAAATATAAGCTATACTAAACCTGACAAGTGCAGGAATATTTATAATTAGAGGTTAAAATGTGGAAATCTCAATACTAGATGGCACAAAGGTAAAACGAATTTATAAATCTTCAGGGGGGCTAAACTAAAAATTCTTAATGCAAATCGAGTAAACGAATGAAACAACATCGTATTACGACAAAAATACTAGCATCTCCAATCACATTGCACAAATTCCAAGCTGTTGAAAACCCTAAAGCTAAAATTTGTAGATCCACGAAAGAAGGAATTTCACTTCAATCAGTTGAGATCAATCGGATCGAACCAGGGGTAGAGCAAGAAAATGATTTTAAAATGGGTTGAAATTTAAAAAATTTCGAATGGACTCACGGCACAAGAAATCAAGTTTCGGAGGCTATTATCATGACGTTCACAATAAAAAGTATAAGATGCTCGATAAAAAAAAAAAAAAAAAGCTAAAATTTGTAGATCCACGAAAGAAGGAATTTCACTTCAATCAGTTGAGATCAATCGGATCGAACCAGGGGTAGAGCAAGAAAATGATTTTAAAATGGGTTGAAATTTAAAAAATTTCGAATGGACTCACGGCACAAGAAATCAAGTTTCGGAGGCTATTATCATGACGTTCACAATAAAAAGTATAAGATGCTCGATAAAAAAAAAAAAATTTAGATGTTTCACATTAAGATATTTCACTAATTCTTTATATTTTTTACCAATAAAAAATCGACGCTTACCTTAAAAAATATAATATGATCGAATCATGATAAATATAAGCAAAAATACATATCCACCAATGAAAACTTAAAAAAATTATTTAATAAGTACTTTTTTAGTAACTTTGACAACCAATATTTCCAAATAATTGAATGTTTGATCGAAACACACAATCAATAATGTATCACTATAATCCTTATGTTAATGTCTCAAATATTATTTGGCGTGTTCATCGATATTCTATATTACCACATTTTAAAGTGAGTGAAGAATCTCAACCAAAGTGAGAAAAATCAACTAAAATTTTCGAGTATTAAAGAAATTAAATTTAATTCACGTCCATTTTTTGCTCGATTTCAAGAATATACTTGTATATAAATAAATAAGTTTTAACAAATATTATTTTTATTGTCAATAATCTATAGCAAGTTATTTATTTTGATCATAATATCTATTTTATGACCAAAATAATAATTTTATTATAAGCATGAATAAGTAATAAATGAAAATATACACAGAAGTGAAAAAACTAATTACTTTTAAATTTAGAAAAATATGTAGTGTCTCTAACTATTAAAAGAAGCTCTCGTTTGACCCCAATTAAATTGAATTTTAATTTTCTCTTTCCTATTTTCAATCACACAATCTTCCATTAAAATAATATTACATGTAAATTTAAAAAAAAATCTTCTTTTTTAGCAGCTCATTCTTAGAAAAATACTATTCAACCCATTAAAATTTGAAATAATGGGGGCCAAATGGGGTCTAATTAATTTACTTTTAAATCTAATTAATACAAATTATCTATAATAAAAACTACTTAATAATTATAAGTAAATTTAGTCAAACATGCATCAAATAAAATATCTAATTTGACAATAAAATATTCACATTTCATGCATGTCATGAAGAGAGTAATTAATAATCGTCTTTATGCCCTATTTGAGCCCCCATTAATTTGAAGAAATGTGGAATAGTGATTGATAGAGAATGTGTGGTTAAAAAAGAATGAAATTTTTTTTATTTGCAGGTAATATTATTTTAATGAAGAATATGTATTTAGAAATGAGTAAAAAATAATGGGAAAGAAAGTAAAATAAGAGATGACAAACATAGGCTTAATACAATTTGAATAAGGGCAACTTATAAAAATACCATTAAAATTAGAAGAGTTTTGAAAAATCATATGAAAAAATTTTTGGAACTAAAAATATATTCTGTAAAATTAAAAAGTGACACAATATCACATTTTTTTATAAAAATTGTATAAAAGTTTAGTATCATTTTTTAATGAAAAATTACATACAATGTCACTTTTATTATAAAATGATGTTTGTTACCAAAAAAAAGTTATAAACTTTTCAAAACAACGATTAAAAAAAGTGACAAACACTTTACTGACAAACATCACTTTTAAATAAAAGTGATATTATATGTCATTTTTTAATTAAAAAAAGTAACACTTAACATTTGATTTCTATGCCCCTCACTTTTTTGAATCTATGCAATTTTTTTTTTTTAATTTGTTCACTTTGTTAAATTCGTCACTTTTCGTAAGTTTCTCTATCTTTTTTGAGTAATTCTCACCTTTTTAAAAAATTTTGTTCCTTTTTTAATCAATAATGTGACTAAAAAAAGTGAAACGCTAAAAATAGTGACAGAAATTCAAAAAAAAAATGACAAAAATTCAAAAAAAGTTACACAGATTAAGCCCCTGTTTGGCCCCCGTTTTGTGGAAACGAAAATGAGTAGAATAGTATTTTTTTGAAAAATTGCATAGTTGAAAAAAAAAGTTTTTTATTTACGTTTAATATTATTTTTTGAAAGATTATGTGGTTGAAAATTGGAGGAAGAAAAATGAAATGTAATAGAATGGAAATTAATGGAAGCCAAATAGGGGCTAAAAAAACTTGTATAATCCCCAATTATTTACTATGTCTTTAGCAACTATTTTATCCATCTTCTACAAAGATAACCATTTCCTATATCTTCCTTCATGTTAACCCTCAAAACATGGCAACGGAGAAAAGCATAGGAAAGTTTTAGACAATGATCAAACTGTGGAGGAATCTCATTTTGGGACCGCTGCAGTCATTCTCACTGCATTTATGATGATCGAACAAAATGAGATCATCACTGTCAACAACACAATTCCTAGATCGCTTTCTAGCCTTTGAATCCAATTTAGCTTTGATTGCCTTTTCAAACATCTTCATGGTCCGCTTTTCCCCATAAGTATAGATAGGGCAAGTCGGGTTGTATTTGTTGATCTCATGTGTCATTATTCCAAGCATTCAGCATGGTAAGCATGTCCACAAATCAAAACAGCAACCACACTAAGTTCATTGCTAGCTATTACTTTTTGGATGCCCAACGAGGATCTCTCAGTTAAAAGCTTTGCACAAACACCACAACTTTGGAGATTAAAAGGAGATCCTAAATTTCGTCCAACAAATCTGGTTATTTTGTCCCAACTAAAGCCAAAGTTTTCACCATCCGAAGACCATCTCTCTTTCGGAGTCGTCATGAGCTCAGAGAATGGAGGAATTGGCAAACCATCAGATGACCCACCATTTAATCCTCTTGTTGATTCGTATCCCCAAGTAGGGAAAAACAAAAGAACATGCCTTTTCAGAAATTGAGAATATACGCAACTTGTATTCTGTAATCGGGCTATTAGATACTTATCGTAATAGCTGCTGTTCGGGAGAACGGGGACTCCATCTGGAAGGGGTTGACTTTGGAGGAAACATGTGACTGTGGGATGACAAAGGAGATGTTAACATGGGTAAACTCAAGGAGCTAAAGGAGATAACTTAACAGAAGATGGGGACAATATTGCTGCAAAAGATCAGTGATGGGATTTTGGTTTGGGGTTTCTGTGTATGCATCCGTTTAAGGGTTTGGGGTTTTGAGAAGTTTTATAACGTATTAATTACGCTATGAAATGATTTAATTGATTAACAAGGTATTAATCAATTTAGTTAAATTTTTAGGGTATTGGACCTAATTTGCTCTTAAATAAATGAGCATTGGACTTGGTTTGAGATTCAATCTTCTGGGCTATTGCTAATATGTGGGCCAAAATTCTAAAATGGGCTGGGCCCGGGTACCTCCGCCCATGGATCGAACCCAAAGATTTCTGTGGCAATGGCTGCTTTGCGGCGTGACTACGCGAGGGAACCCCTCGAGGAAATGGTGGCAGATAGCCACAAAAAACATACAATTTTCCAAAATGGGCGTTGACTACTGTTTAAAAAAAATTCAAAAATTTGTAAAAACCTTAAAAACATTGAAAACCCAAAATTGCTCCTGACATTTCACTCTCAAACCGACGTTTGGAGAAAGAAGGGGAAGAAAAAATAAGGAAACCGACGAATTTTTTTGGGAGGAGACCGACCGGCCACCATTAGAAGAGAAGAAAGAAAGTTTTGCTTATTTTTTCTCCCATTAATTTTTGAACCTAAATGTTAAATGTTTATTTTGTTGGAAATAGTGATAAAAATCTTTGTAGAATATGTAAAATTAATAAAAAGTAAGTTTTTTTAGGGTTTGTTTGTCGGAGATAGCCAAAAATGATTATCTCCGAGCAGAGGCCGTCTGTTGCAGTAGACGGCACAGTCCGTCTATTTAACAGACGGCACATATCGTCTGTTAACAGACCGCCAAGCTGGGCTGTCTGTAGTATTAATTTTTTATTTTAAATTTTTTTCTATGAGAATAAAAATAATTGAAATGTTGTTAAATTATTATTTAAATAATTATTTAAATGATAAAAGAAAAATGTAAATAATGAATAAATGTTAATAATCAAAATACGCAATTAAAATTTAATTACAGATTAATTGAAAGAAATTTCTAGCATTTGAAATAAATAATTAAATATTTACGTTTACTTGTTCGATAAATAATTTAAATAATCGATCTATATAAGTAATTAAATCAAATAATTTAAATGAACAATTGAAATGAAAAATCATTGGAATAAATAATTAATTGAAACTCACAAAAATAAATAATGAACATTTAAATAATAATTAAATGATTATTTAAATGATAAATAAATAAATGTTATTAATCAAAATACGCAATTAAAATTTAATTGATACAAATTTCTAATATTTGAAATGAATAATTAAATATTTACGTTTGCTTGTTCAATAAATAATTTAAATAATCTTTCCATATAAGTAATTAAATCAAATAATTTAAATGAACAATTGAAACAAATAATGAAAAATAATTGGAATAAATAATTAATTGAAATGTACAAAAATAAATAATGAACATTTAAATAATAATTACATGATTATTTAAATAATAAGTGAATAAATGTTAATATTATAAATATTAATTAAAGTTTAATTGAAATAAATTTCTAACATTTGAAATGAATAATTAAATATTTACGTTTGCTTGTTCAATAAAAAATTTAAATAATTGATTCATATAAATAATTAAATCAAATAATTTAAATGAACAATTGAAACAAATAAATGAAAAATAATTGGAATAAATAATTAATTGAAACGCACAAAAATAAATAATGAACATTTAAATGATAAATGAATAAATGTTAATAATCAAAATATTAATTAATGTTTAATTGAAATAAATTTCGAACATTTGAAATAAATAATGAAATATTTGTGTTTGCTCTTGTTCAATAAATAATGTAAATAATCGATCAATATAAGTAATTAAATCAAATAATTTAAATGAACAATTGAAACAATTAAATGAAAAATAATTGGATAAAAATAATCAAATTAAGTAATTAAAATGTAGATAAACAATTGAAATAAATATCTAACATTTAAAATAAATAATTAAATATTCGCTTAATAATTAAAATAAATATTGAATAAACAACTAAAGAAAAATATAACAAATAATTA